AATCTAATTAAGAAATCTCTTTATATATTTTTAAATTAAGAATTTGTTATTTTATCTTTAGTGGAATAGGCCTACGGGGGAAACCACTTAAAAAAACGCGACAGCATTAGTACCTCATGGGTGACGTAGAAATCTATTGAAATATTTCCACTTAATAAATTAAAATAAAAATTATTTTAATAAATTTTAATAAATTTTTTTTAATTTTAATAAATTGGGAAAAGAACCCACTCATAATCAGATAATGTCGCTCCTAACGCTCGGCGGCGCTGACCCAAGCGGCTGCGGCGCGCGCGGAAAGGAGAGGAAAAGAGGTGTATACCGCGGAAATCGGCTGAAATGTTCAACTAATTCCGAGTACTGTTATAGAACATTTAGAAAAATATTTGACACCAAGAAACAACATTGATTATGGCTACTGCTATTGTTCCTTTCTTTCAGTGTAAGTTAAGTAAAATAAAACATGAAAAAAGTATAATTGATAAAATATGTCTGATAGTGTTTAGAAAGATAGTAATATTGTATATGAGTAATTTTATAGCTGTTATCAAAGACATATTAAATATATAAAAATGTTAGAATACAAAGATAAAACAAACACGAAATTATAACTGAAAGTGTTAGTAAGCCGAGAAACATTAAAATAATAAATTATAATAAATTGTTATGTTTCTAATAAGTTATGATATTTATTTTGTCAAATACACGCAAGCAAGCCGTGCGCGCACACACACAAGATTAATTGTCACTTCGCAGAAATGGTGATTAATCATTTCACATGAAAAGACTCATACTGTAGAAAATAAAAAATGTAAAAGTAAAAAGAAATTAGAGACACAGTTACTTATTCAGAAAAAGATTTGAGAAAATAAAGTTGTATTTATCGTGCTTTATTTGCTGTTAAATTTTTCTATATTTTAAAATAGAAATAGAATATTATGTACGGTCACTTACCTACATATATTAAAATCGTCAATTTAAATGCAATGCAACGTGAAAATTTACAATTTTGTAATAATAATACAGTTAACATCACCTTACACACAAATCGTGAATGCCGAAGTTATATAAATCAAACTGCGATTCAGTTAGCTCCGAGAAGACTCTGAATACTAAGAAGCATATTCGTAACTGATATAATATATATGTTATGTCACGCAAACAGTTGCTAAGAGGTCACCCAACGGGAAAACACTTTACTAAACGCTAGAAGAGCACAGAAATTAAAATACATAGTCAGTTAAATTTGTGTATAGAAACCGAAATTGTATAGTTTTTAGTTACTGACAAACAAAATTGTTAAAATAAAATACTTATAAATATATAGAAAATATTAATTTTACGTGTAAAATTGTATTAAGCTGTTATGCAGTCAGACATTTAAGATTTTAAATGTAATGGTACAAATTTGTGCAATTACAGCAGTGAAATATGAGAGATTTACTAAACTGAAAATAAGTAATTGAGTTTAAATTTAAATAATATTAATGCTCTACATTAATAGTTTTTACGTTTTGTGAAAGCTTATATAATAAAATTACTTATAAGAAAAGAAATTAAAAATGCAAAAAACAAATTTCCTAATTATAAATTTGTAATAATTGCTATCATATCTGTTAAAAATTTCTATTACATATTAACATGACTATTACATTTGAGTCTAAGATATTATCTTGAAATGTTTAATTTTGAGAAGTAGTAAACAATTCTACCATTTTACTAAAAATGTATCGCAATATTGTAATTACTTTTTATTACTAACATAGCAGTATTATTTAGAACAGCGCTCGGAATTAGTTGCACATTTCGGGCCGATTTCCGAGACGACGCCTTCTGTTCCCCACTACCGTCCGGCCGTTGGCGGCCGAGCCGCCGATAGCTCTGGCGCAGGAGCGTTTTATATAAGAAATAGGCGGATTGTTGAGGTACCTCTCAGAAAATAGTAATATTTTCTTTGTTACATAAATAATGTTTATTTTCATTAATAATTAAATATATATATATTATGTATTAATAAAAATAAACATTATTTATGTAGTGAAGAAAATGTTACGATTTCATGAAAGATGCCTAAAACAATCCAGCCTATTTTAAATAAAAAGCTCCTGAGCCAGAGCTATCGGCGGCTCGGCCGCCAGCGG